GGACTACAGGTGCCTGCCACCATGCCCGGCTAATTTTTTGTATTAATTAGCACTTAGCTTGTATTAATTAGCATTGTATTAATTAGCATTAATTGTCACTGCAGCCTGGGTGACAAGAAACTCCGTCTCAAAAAAAAAAAAAAGCCATATAGTCAGTGACTCTCAATGTGAAAGAATTTGCTCACACTTTAATTTTTTTATTTTTTATTTATGTGTGTGTTGTGGGGAGGAGGCACTGAGAGGCACTTCCTAAGGCTTTGTTTTAGGGACAGAGAGCTCCACCCTGAGCTGCTCTAAGTTTTTTTGTTGTTTGTTTTGTTTTTTTTTTAGTATAGATGGGTTTTCACCATGTTGGCCAGGCTGGCCTCAAACTCCTGACCCTCAGGGGATCCACCTGCCTTGGCCTCCCAAAGTGCTGGGATTACAGGCGTGAGCCACCGCGCCTAGCCTTTTTTTTTCTTTTTCTCATAGGTTATTGGAGAACAGGTGGTGTTTGGTTACATGAGTAAGTTCTTCAGTGATGATTTGTGAGATTTTGGTGCACCCATCACCCGAGCAGTATACACTGTACCCAATTTGTAGTCTTTTATCCCTCGAGCCTTTCCCACCCTTTCCCCCTGAGTCCCCAGAGTCCATCGTGGGTTTTTTGTTTGTTTTTTGTGACAGAGTCTTGCTCTGTCGCCCAGGCTGGAGTGCAGTGGCATGATCTCGGCCCACTGCAACCTCTGCCTCCCAGGTTCAAGCGATTCTCGTGCCTCAGCCTCCTCAGTAGCTTGGATTACAGCGTGTGCCACCACGCCTAGTTAATTTTTTGTATTTTTAGTAGAGACGGGGTTTCGCCATGTTGCCCAGGCTGGTCTCGAACTTCTGAGCCTAGGCAATCCTCCCGTGTTGGCCTCCGAAAGTGCTAGGACTACAGGCGTGAGCCACTGTGCCTGATCCTTTGTGACATTCTTATGCCTTTGAATTCTCATAGCTTAGCTCCCACTTATGAGAACATATGATGTTTGGTTTTCCATTCCTGAGTTACTTCACTTAGAATAATAGTCTCCAATCTGATCCATGTTGCTACGAATACCATTAATTCATTCCTTTTTATGGCTAAGTAGTATCCCATCATATATATGCTCTAAATTCTCATGAACTGAAAATCCTTTAGGACCTAGGTTCAAACCTGCCCCTATTATATACGGTTCCCAAAGCCTGTCTCCCGCACCCCTTAGGGTTCAATGACCTCGACATTTTCCCAAACAGCCTGGGAGCTCTTTGTGGACAAGGGGCATGCCAGCCTGGTCACTGCTGTGTTCCCCATGCTCAGAGCAGGGTAAGCCCCCCAGCAGTTTCTGAATGCCTAGTATTGGGTATGTGTGCAGAAACCATTTCTCTCTTTCTGCCCCTCCTAGTCTGCCCTCCTCTGCTTCTCCTTCACAGACAACAGTACCTATTGGGAAAGTCCTGGAAACCTGAATGCTGTCTCCGTTCTCCACTCGTTGGTTTCCTGCCGTGCTGGGCTTCAGAGGAAATGTCTCTGTCCCAACATTCTCTCGTTTGCTAAGAAGATGACAGTGATCTGTCCTGTTGACCTCATAGGTTTGCTGAAGGGATAAAATGATGTTGTGGATGCAACAGAACTCCTACAATGTAAAATAATCATTCACATTTGAGGGATTCTTATCCACTTTGCTTATTTCAGCCGCAGGGGCTAGGGACTCAACGAGGGGACTCAGGCCAGGCCCCAGCTCCAGTCTCAGGTTCACAAGTTGCGTACCCTCCAACTCACCTGGTCCCTCTTACTGCTTCTTCATGTGCCCACACATGGTTCTGCTCCAGCCAGGTGGGGGCGGCCCCTCTCCACATAAGCACCCCCACCTGCAGGCAGTCCTCCTTCTGGTCTTTCCGTCAGATCTGCAGCCCCTCTGCCACCGCCCACCGCCGCAACATGCAATTCCCTGTCTATTCCCCTTGGGAGTCCTTGCCAAGTCAACCTAGACCAGATTCCCGTCTTCCTCCCTTGGCCTCCACTTGACTCGTCCTCCAACTGCCATTTCTCCATTCCTTAGTTGCCCCTGCCTGACTCTTGGGGATCAGCTCACCACACATTCACATCTGCTGACCTTTTCTGTGTTTGGCCTCCCCATTGAACCATGAGCACCCTGCCCCTTGGGAGGGACAACCATGTCCGATGTTGAGCTTGGCCACCAACACGAGCACGTCGGGATTTGGTGGAGGGCTAGGGCAGTCTTTCCTCCCAGCCAGTTCTCTACCAGACCCTCCCTGAGGTGTGAGTTCCCTCTGGCCCCAAACTCAAGGGCTCCTGCCCCTATCACAGAGTCCCTGAAGGAGAGGCAGACAGGTCCTTCTAGACGGCCCCTGCTTCTGGGCCTGGGCTTGGAGGAAGAGTACTGAGGGACTGCGTCTCCACCCCTCCAGCCCTAGGTGGCCCCTGCGTTGGAACCCTGACTCCCAGGGCTTCCCTCCACCTGATATGGCTTGTCTCGTTCACCCAGGTCTGGTGGCTCATAAGGAAAAGACAGATGTAGGGACCCAATGCAACCTTTTAATTCCAAGCAGAGTCCCCTCCCCCAGCATGGTCACACACACAGTGGAAAGGGATGCCAGGGTCTGGGCAGAAGCAATACCCAGACCTGGGCAAAAATATAGATATCATTATATACACACGTGGACTGGAAAGAAGTCAAGCTGGGGGTGTAAGGTAGGGCAGAGGCAGGTGAGGAAAGCAGCTGGGGGGGCCCCAATAAATTACATTCTTGAGAGAGCATAGTGTGTGGGGGGTGCGTGGGTGTGGGTGAGAGCTGGTAGCCAGGACACTCCAAAATGTGCCAGGCCTGGCCTCTTGACCCCATCCAAGGGAGGCGGAAGGCCCAGCTTCTGCCCGGTGCCTGGCGTGGTGCTGGAATTCCCATTTCGTGGCCCGGAGGCAGGTGGAGGGCCAGGGTCATGTGTAGGCGGCATCTCCACCCTCAGCCCAGGCTTCTGGGGAAGCCGCAGGGCTGGAGCAAGAGGCTTTGAAGCTCGGGGGTTGCGAGCAGAGGTCAGGGCAAGCTGAAATTGGGAGGCGACCTCCCTGCTAGAGGCTGAGCTGGGGCCTGTTCCCACTAGAATCAGAGGAGCAGGAGGCTGCAGTGCAGGAAAGCTGTCAGGAGTGAGTGTGGGAGGGATGGGTGGGCGACACGAGAGCCTGGAGCTCTTTCTGCCTGGCCGCTTCCCACCCCTGCATCTTCCCTCCAGCTGTTCAAGACAGCCAACAGGCCTAACCACCAATGCCCCTCATTCCTCCTCACCCTCTGGGGTGAGGGGCGGGGAGACGGTGCAAACATGAACTCTGTGTGCCGGAACCCCGACTGGCTTTGCCCTGTGCAGGGAGGGTCAGGGACGAGAGCAGGAGGGCCCCAGGCTTGTGAGGGGGAAGAAAGTCCATAGCTCACTGCCCGGCATTGCAGAGGTCTTGGCCCCCCCTCTACCTGAGGAAAGGAGCCCACCCTACTTCCACGCCACCTCCTGCCCCTCCCAACCCGCCGGGGAAGAGCCCTGAAGCAGCAGGGGTAAGGGGGCCGTCCCGGAGCAGGTGGGGGCCATCAGAACAGAGAGGCCTTCTTCTTGAGCTCATTCCGCTTCCACAGAGCCAGCTTGCCAAACTCTTCGGGGGACATGGCAAATACCCTTGAGAAGTCCTCGGCAGACAGATGCCTCTGCATGGGGGAATCGGGCAGCTCAGCGTGGGGTGGGGGCTGTGCCCAGTGACCTAGGGGACACTCACTCAAAGAGGCCCCGGGTGTTCTCCCAGGCAGGAGAGTGCCCGTGGACAGCCCCGCACCCATCCAGGGCATCTTCCTTGCCTACCTCAAGCCGCATCCGATCCACCCCTGGTGGCAGCTTGGTTCGTCCCTTGTTGGTCACCACTAGCATTTCGTAGGGATAGATCTGGGAGTGGGGGAGGGGCAATCTTAGGTTCATAGAATGTCTTGTCCTTTGACTCCCTAGGCCCCCCACATCTACCTGCAGAGGCCACTGGGGTTCATGCCATCTTGCCCTCTGTCTCCCCCAACTTCCCTGCCATCCCTCCCATCTTCGACACCAGGAAGACCCCGCAGCGCATTCCACTTGCCTGGCATCTCCCCAGCCTCCCGCCCCGCTATAGGCGCTTGGGTCCCCTGCCCCTCACCTTCTGCTCCAGCACACAGGGCAGGGAGTTCCCCCGGTCCATCCTCCCCCTCTGGCCCTCTCCGTTCTGGGGAGACCAAAGCCGCAGTGAGCCAGAGTGGGGCAGGGAGACCTTCCCAGCCTTACCCCGACTTCTTCTTCTTCACCGGGCAACTCTGTGGCCCCACACCCCCCTTCCCCTGACACTTCCAGGCACCAGGACCCGGCTCCTGGTGCTCCGCCTGTTCCCCTCCAGGAGGCACTCACCTGCAGGCCTGTGGGAGAGAAGGGGTATGGTTCAGAGGCAGCTCTGAGGTCAGCAGGCCAACACATCTGACCTCACCGGACCCCTGCCCACAGCCCAGACCCCGGATGCCCAGGAACCTACGTAAGTCCCTTCCCCAGATGCCGGCACCAGGGCCCACTTCTCACCTGGGCTTCCAGTTTCACTCCCTGATGGGCTGAACTCTGTGGACTGTAACTAGAAAGGACACAAAGGAATCAGAGGCAGTTGGGGATATTCGCCTTTGGTCCCCTTCACTTTGGGGGCCTCCCCGCTCCCTGAGGGTACCCAAGTGGCTCAGTCCCTCAGCACCCCCATAGGCACGCCCCTCCCACATAGTCTATATCTCCGGTCCTGAGGCCTTACCCGGCTCAGGGTGGTCCTGCCGTAGGCGGGGAGAGAGGAAGATTTAGACGTTCCCTGGTGCAAGGCTGGAAGAGAGCAAAAGGTCCTGGTTCAGTTCCTTTGGCCCTGACAGCCCTTTCTGAGAGAGCTCCCTCACTGGCCTTCCACACCTGGGGCAGGGCAGGAAGGGGTCACGCTGGAGGGAACCTGCCGGGCTTCTGCTAGCTCCCAGCTCCGACTGGTCACCCTCAGCAAGCAATACAGTGCCGGCGATTCTCAGTTGTCTCTACCACCATCCCTCTTCTCTCCAACTAGAAGTGGCCCAAATATACAATTGGGCCCAATGCCTGATGTGAAAATTGAGTCAGCCGGAGCCAAGGCTCACATCAGAAAATGAACCTCTGGGATACACAAAGAAATCTAAAATCGAATCACAATAATTACATTATTATAATATTATTAACAATGTTAGTAATCAAATCTAAAAAATATATATATATATTTTTTGGCCAGGCATGGTGGCTCATGCCTGTAATCCCAGCACTTTGGGAGGCCAAGGTGGGCAGATCACCTGAGGCTCGGAGTTCAAGACTACCCTAACCAACATGGAGAAACCCTGTCTCTATGAAAAAATACACTGCACCTGGCCACAAATTTTTGATAGAGATAGGGTCTCACTATGTTGCCCAGGCTGAACCTGAACTCTTGGACTCAAGTGATCCTCCTGCCTTTGCCTCCCTAGTACTGGGGCTACAGGCACGGGCCACCTGCTCAGCTAGTACTCATATTTGTTTATTTATTTATTTTTGAGATAGGGTCTCAGTCTGTCACCCAGGCTGAAGTACAGTGGTGTGATTATAGCTTAACTGTAGCCTCAACCTCCCAGGCTCAAGTGATTCTCCCATCTCAGCCTCCTCAGTAGCTGGGACTAGGGGCATACACCATCAAACCCAGCTAATTTTTTTTTTTTGTAGAAACCAGGCCTCACTATGGTACCCAGGCTGGTCTTGAACTCCTGGGCTCAAGCAATCCTCCCACCTTGGCTTCCCAAAGTGCTGAGATTACAGGCGTGAGCCAACTAAGTAAATTTTAAAAGTCTGACATTATGCCGGGCTCTGTGGCTCACACCTGTAATCCCAGCACTTTGGGAGGCCAATGTGGGTGGATCATGAGGTCAGGAGATCGAGACCATCGTGGCTAACACGGTGAAATCCTGTCTCTACTAAAAATACAAAAACAAATTAGCCAGGCATAGTGGCGGGCGCCTGTAGTCCCAACTACTCTGAGCAGGAGAATGGCGTGAACCTGGGAGGCGGAGCTTGCAGTGAGCCAAGATCATGCCACTGCACTTCAGCCTGGGGCGACAGGGCGAGACTCCATCTCAAAAAAACAAAAACAGAAACAGACAAA